GCTTTTTTCTTTTTGCTTATGTGGTGCTGAGGAATCGAACCCAGGGCCTCATGCATGCAAGGCAAGCGCTCTACCACTGAGCCACCTTCCCAGCCCCAGCAGCCTATTTTTTTTTAATTTCCTCTGTTGTGGGGCTTGAACTCAGGGCCTGGGTATTGTCCCCAAGCTTCTTTGTGTTCATGGCTAGTGCTCTACCACTTGAGCCACAGCGCCACTTCCAATTTTTTCTGTGTATGTGATACTGAGGAATGGAACCCAGGGCTGCATGCATGCTAGGCAAGCACTCTTCCACTAAGCCACATTCCTAGCCCACCAGCCTATTTTAGGTTTTCTTCCTAGCTAAGATGACAGGCATGTGTCTCCATACTCATCTCGCCATTGACAAGGGACCTTAAGAACTGCCCCCCCACCCCCACCCCTGCCCTGGCCCTGACTGGCCCAGAATGGAGATATTCCCAATCTCAGCCTCCCAAGTAGCTAGAATTATAGGCTTGTGCCACTGACATCCAGCCCATTACTACAATCTTAACTTGAGTAAACAGCTTTATCGATATGACTTATCACCTTCTTTATATTAACAGTAGAACAGTTAACTCTGTCTAAACACTCTTTTTCCTACTGGACTAATACACATATGGCCAATCCTTGACTTATGGCACCCTTCACATATCAAATTTGAGAAATAACTCCTTCCTCTTACCAGTGGTCCAGCAGGGGTACCATAGGGGGCAGCACCTGGAGCACTTGGGTAGGCCCCGGGAGCACTTGGTTGTCCTGGGTAAGCCCCAGGTGCAGGTGGTCCAGGATAAGCTCCAGGTGCAGTTGGTCCAGGATAAGCTCCAGGTGCAGTCGGTCCAGGATAAGCTCCTGGTGCAGCTGGGCTAGGATAAGCTCCTGGAGGTGCCTGTCCAGGGTAGGCCCCTGGAGGTGCCTGCCCGGGGTAGGCCCCAGGATAAGAAGCTCCTGGGTAGCCCCCTGCCCCAGACCCAGGCTGGTTCCCCCATGCACCAGGCCATCCTTGAGGGTTTGGGTTTCCAGACCCAGACAAGGCATCATTGAGCTGGAAAGAAAGAGATATCCCCATTACAAGATAGCACTCATGAAAAGGAATTTTTAAGAAAACAGGCATATAGTACAGAGCTATAAGGAAGGTATAAAATTCACATCAATGACCTTTTTTCCCTTTTTATTAATAGTTTCGGGTGCCAAAGTCTGAAATTAGACTTAGATTCTATAGGCTTTTGCTCTTCATTCTGGTGGACCTTCTACCATCTCCGATTGGGGAAGACTGCATTTTGTGTGTGTGTGTGTGTGTGTGTGTGTGTGTGTGTGTGTGTGCGTGCATGCCAGTCCTTGGCCTTAAACTCAGAGCTTCTCACTTTCACATGGCTTTTTCTACTTAAGACAGGAGTTCTACCACTTGAGCCACTCTCACTTATGGTTTTTGGCTGGTTAACTGGAGATTAAAAGTCTCACAAGACTTTCCTGCCTGGGCTGGCTTTTAATCTTGGTCCTCAGCTCTGAGCCTCCTGAGTAGCTAGGATTACAGGCATGAACCACCAGTGCCTGACTGCATTGTCATCATTTGCTCAAATCAGGAGCTCTCTATCAAAGGACAGGCCTTCTGCTTGGCATAAGAAACACAGTCACAAACATCAGGATGCTCAGACTGTACTGCACATCCTGCTGCCTCTCGCAGGGTTAAAGATCACGTGTTTTGAGTCCCAGGCTTCTCTTCCTGGTGCTCTTCCCTTGTCTGCTGCTGGAAAAAATAAGTTCAGCTAACAAGGGAAGCAGAGGAAGCAACTCAGCCCACATGATTGCCGGAGGCTAACAACACTGAGACGAACCACTTACCGAGAAACTGTCGGCCATTTTCCTAAAAGGAAAGAAAAGAGAAAGAAATGTTAGCGTTTGATCCGAAAATAGTTTACCAATCTCCATGAAATTTAACAGCCTAAATAGCTCCTAGGCAGTTCTGTTCCATTTCTAGGCATCATACCTAAATCAATAGTGCAGAATCACAAAAATATCTCACTGAGGGGCGAGATACTTTCCAGCTGGATTACCACACCTTATTTAACTCATAAATTCAAACTTTGATCACACTACTTTGTTTTCTGAATCCTGAAAGTAAAACATCATGAAATACCTGAAGAAGGAAACAAAGATGCTTTGCCTCCTTTTTAGGTAAAAAGTACAGGCATGATTTCTCCTGGGCCTCCCTCACTTTCCTTCCTGCTCCGTTACCTCTCACAAAGGATCTAATATGGTAGCAAGGCCCACCCTCCTCTTCCCATCCCCAAGCCCATACCCTTTTCTGGGATTTAGGAGGAAAGCAAAGCAGTCCTCTTAGGTTCCTACTGAGCTCTGAGAGACAGTGACCTCCCGCTGTAGCTTCTGCCTGCTCAGTATCTCTCCACTAGCTCATACCACAGCCTGCTCCGAGCCAGGTACTGTGCAGGGCCTGAGTATGAAGATCTCTATGGCCAAAGGGCCCACAGCCCAGCTAGGTGATGAGAGAAATGGCAATGTGATAGTCATGCTGTTGTTGTGTCATAGGGATCCAAACTCAAGAAGCTTTCTTCTGAGATAGGATGGGTGCTAATATTTGAACTAGGTCTTTGAGGAAAGGTGGTGCTTTTTTTTTTTCTCATTACTTGTTCCAAACAAAATGTTTGGCAAGAAAACTTAACAGAAGAAGGTAAAATAGACAGACGATGTGGAGTAAAGTCCTCTGGAGTAAGATATCATCAAATCAGTTTGTCTCATTCAAAGGTGCTACCCATACAAATGGAGAAGTTGGTCCCTCTTCCTTTCTGCTTCTTTCCCTGTACTTCCAAGAGGCCAACATGTTCCCACCTTCTCCTTTGGCTCCCACAGGAGCTACAGAGGGCAGCTTTGGAATGGAATGGAATGGAACCCAAGGCCTCCGTCATCCAAGGCACTCAGCGCTCTACAACAGCTACATCTCCTATCTTCCACCACAGGGTAGTTTGGGACCCTTGCTGCCTGGCTGAGGGTTTTGTGTTGGTTTGTTTTGTTTTGTACTAGGACTTGAACACAAGGTCTGAAGGTTGTCCCTTGGCTTTCTTGCTTAAGTCTAGTGCTCAACTATATGAGCCAAAGCTCCACTCTCAGTTTTGTTTTTTTGATTTTTGTTTTGATGTTTAATTAGGGATCAGAGTATCACAGAGTTTCCTGCCTATGATCTTTAGACCTCACCCTCCTGAGGAGATAGGATTACAAGCATGAGCCACCAGCACCTGCCTGGGTAAATTCTAAGCTGGGGATCACCCAGACTGTGGCCCAAATTACCTGGCCCTGAAACAATGAGACACTCTCCTTACTTGATCTGCCTCGTTGTGAAATTTATTAAATCTTTTTTTTTTTGTCAGTTGTGGGGCCTGAACTCTGAGCTGTCCCTGAGCTCTTCAGCTCCAGGTTAGAGCTCTACCACTTAAGCCACAGCACCACTTCTGGCCTTTTCTGATTATGTGGTGATAAGGAACCAAACACAGGGCCTCATGAGGCAAGCACTCTACCACTGAACCACCTTCCCAGTCTACTAAATCATTTTTTAAGTGACATTGTCCCTAAGGATCTAATAAATGCCTCCTGCCTTATAGACCCTAAAAATGTAAATTATTCAATGCTTTCTGTAAAAACAGAAATAAGCAGAGCTCTTCCTAGAACTAAATGTGCACTTTATTTACACAGTAGTCAGATGTTTTCCTATGATGCTGCTGTTACTTGTATCATGGTCAGTCACCACACATCTCTTTAACCTGAGCATTCTCAGACTAGTTAGAACAGTCCGATGATGGCTGAGCCCATCTGCCACTTACAGAGCTTTCCATACCCTCTACCCCTTGTTTCCTATTGCACTTGACCTTTTAAAACAAAAGGGGGAGGTCTCTTCTACGTGTGTCCCCTTCCCCACAAAGCTGTATATCATACTATGTTGCCACCAGAGGAGGATCCTGAGAGAACTGTTACAGAAAAGGGGCAGGGGAGCAAATTTCCTAACCTTTCTTGGGGGCAGGATTAGCAAACTGAAGACCCTGTATCTTTCAGGCAAGCTATATCCCATACCCAACATTTCTTAAGAAAATAAAGCTCTTTCATTGTATTCAGGAGATATAACCTTGAACTTCAACTTCAGTGTGGGCAGAGAACTTAGTACCTTTGATTACACACACAACTTTATAAGCTTTTTTTTTGTCAGTTATAGGGCTCGAACTCAGGGTTTGGGCCTTGCCCTGAGCTTTTGTAGTCAAGACTAGTGCTCTTACCACTTTGAGCCATAGCTCCATTTCTAGTTTTGGGTGGTTAATTGAAGTCTCATGGGCTTTTCTGCCCAAGCTGGCTTCGAACCACGATCCTCAGATCTCCTGAGCAACTAGAATTACAGGAGCAAGTCACTAGCTCCTGGCTGCATTTGTATGTGTGTGTGTGTGAGAGAGAGGTGGGGGGAGGGAGGGAAGGAGGGAAGAAGGGAAGAGAGAGAGAGAAGGAGAATGGGGCAGAGGAGGGAGGAGGGAGAAAGGATTTTGCTATGTTGTCCAGCTGGCCTCAAACTGACAATCCTGCCTCTGCCTCCTAAATGCTATGATTACTGGTGTGCACTGCCATTCCTGGCTTTATAAGCATTTTAATTTCTTTCTTGTCAACCTCAGTAGCACTGCCACTCAGGTAGTAGTCTGGGGCAGGGTGTTGTCCTGTGCATTGTAAGCTGTTCAGTACCCTTTCTGGTTTGAATTTATAAAATGGCAGACTCTCACCACCCTATAACTTGTGACAACTCAAAATATTGCCAAAGATCCCCTGGGGGGCAAAGCCATGCATGGCTGAGAGCTACCAGTCTAGTCCGGTTGGCATGTATGTTCTTGCATAATTATACATATACCAGACAATAAAAACTAACGACTAGTTTCAATCATTAAAACTAGCTAACTTTCACCTGGCATAGTGGTACACACCAGTGATGCCAAGCATTTAGAAGGCTGAAGCAGGATTGCAGGTTTTGAACTTGAGGCTAGTCTTTAGCTAGCTTTCTATCATGTGCTTTCTATCATAAAGTGACTTATTACTATTACACTAATAAAATCAAGATGTGTTTGACAGATGATCACAACCAGAAAGCCCAACAAAATCATTTCTACATTTAATATGTATTCTTTCCAAAGCCTCAGATTAGGCCTGTTTATTTTCCAATCTGACCAAATACAGTTTGAGAAACTAAGCAAGTTCCACTGCCTTCCAGTTTCACAGATGACTCAGGTGACAGTTTGGACAGTGTCATGAGACATTCCACAGCCCTGTCAGAACAATGGCACCCTGCATGTGAAATTTTTTGCTTTGCAAAGCCCTTTCACATACACCATTAGCAATAGCAATCATATGTGAGGGACAGGAGGAAAATTAACATCCCTACTGTGAGGTGAGAAAATCAGGGCTCAGAGAACTAGCACCGAGGCCCTGAATCATCCATTCATTAGCAGCCATGGGGAAGGGAAGAGCCCAAATCTCCCAATTCCTAGTTCAAACTCATTCAACACTAATTTAAAACCACATTTTTGACTTTTCAAGTATATTCCTTAGAAAGTATTATCATTTCTTTGAGAATTGATACTCTGGATTATTCACTAAGAACTACATTGAAATTGTAAACAAACTAAAAGCAAGATCATGTTTTTGTCAGAAAACCGTGTGGGTGACTCATTCAGCACACAGTAATACTGGAGGCAGGATGCTGTTTTGCACAGTCACTTTCTAATTACAACCACATTCTAACCAATAAGTTGTACTTTTCCATAATTTGGGTAGGCACTGTTTTGGTTATGTCAACTCCCATCTACCAGATGTATTTTTTTAAGGATTAATGCCTGTATTATCCTTTGAAATCAAGGTTAATAATCTTTTTTCTTAGACCAGTCCTGGTGCTTGGACTTAGGGCCTGGGCACTGTCCCTGAGCCTGTCGGTGCTCAAGGCAAGTACTCTACCATGAGCCACAGCACCATTTTTTTTTGTTTTGTTTTGTTTTGTTTGTTTTTTGGTCCAGTTGTGGGGCCTGAACTCTGGGCCTGGGTGCTGTCCCTCAGCTCTTCAGCTCAAGGCTAGCACTCTA